TCATCCACATCGTCATAAGCATCAGCATCAGCATCATCATCACCACCACAACATCATCATCGTCATCATCCTCGTCATCATCATCTTCATCATCAGCATCATCGGCATCATCATCATAATCGTCATCATCATCACTAGTCAGCATCATCTGCTTCACTCGCATCTACAATATGGTCCTTATCCTCACCATCATCAGCAGCAGCATCATCACCAGAATCGTTAAAACGACCCCCTTCCCTCCTCCAAGACTCTAGCCTGCCGATATCCATCCGTTCAATCCCGGACCTGGTTCGCCCGCCTGGCACCCTGGTAGAGATCCCTTGCAGGGGGGGCAAGATCAGCCAGGATCAGGACCTTCCTCGCCTTCCTTCTCTCCGCTTCCCCTCCCCGTCTTCAGGGGGGGGAGGAAGGCACTGGTTCTGCTCAGGAGGAGGAGGAGGAAGAGGAGAAGGAGGAGGAGGAATTGGAGGAGGAGGAGGAGGAGGAGGAATTGGAGGACGAGGAGGAGGAGGAATTGGAGGACAAGGAGGAGGAGGAGGAGGAGGAGGAGGAGGAGGAGGAGGACCTGCTCTCGGCGGCGCGCCAAGGAGGGGAGGGGAGAGGGGGCAGGCCTCCTTGGAGGCCCGAGGGGGCTTCTCGGCAGTCCCGGGTCCTTCTGGGAAGCCGCCTGCGCTCTCGGAGAAGGCTGACAAAGCTCCTCGAAGGCTGCAGGCATTCTTGAAGGGGCCCCAGGACACTCAAATAAATACACACAAATAAAAAGATTCCCCATATTTAACCATCTTTTTGCGGTTTTCGTCTTCCCCCCCACTTCCATAGTTTCCCATATTTTCTGGGGAATCGACGCTTAATTGTGTCGGTGTGTTTTTGTTCCCTCCTGATTCTTACCGAGGTTCTCGCTGGAGGCGGCTGGGGGGTCTGAACTGACTGGGACCTCAGAAAATCGGCCGGAGGGGGGAGATGAAGCCAAATCCGCTCAAAATCCCTCCTGGGGTCGATGTGGCGCAGATCCGCGTTTCACGCACCCGGAGCCCGAAAACAGCCCCCGGGGGGCCGAAAACGACAAAAACCTTCCCGAACCCACAACTTCGAACCTGCCTGCCCTTCCCGGTGGCCCGAGCCAGTGCTGGGCCACCACTCCAAGGCTCCAGCAGCACGCAGAAGGGCCTCGGCAGCGCCCGGGGCTTTCTGTGGATGCGACAGGGCCTGCCACGGCAGGCTCCGCGCACACCGCTCCCGCCGGGCTGCGATGAGCATGCTCCCCTGCTGGCAGGTCCACCCCACCAATTCTCAGAATGAGACGTCGAATATGTGCTTTTCTCCGCTGCGTGCGGATCGCACACTTCCGGGGTATCGCAAAGAAGAAAACCAGCATAAACATAAACTTTCCGCGCTCCGCGAGGATCCTCCTCCTCCTCCTCCTCCTCCTCCTCCTCCTCCTCCTCCTCCTCCTCCTCCTCCTGGCGGTTTCTTCTTTTTCGGGAGCGGTGTGCAGCCGGTCAAACGGAGCCGCGCTGCACCAGGGGGCGGCGTGCGGAGGCGCACGCCCAGGGAGAGGGCTCCGCGGGTGCCGAGGCGGTCGCGCCGTCGCGGCGGCTCCGCGCCGAGGCGGTGGCCGGGCGACGGCAACCAAACCCGCGTCGTCGTCGTCGTCGTCGTCGTCGTCGTCGTCGTCGTCGTCGTCGTCGTCGTCGTCGTCGTCGTCGATTGGCGGCGCGCATACGGAGGTAGGGTTAGGTCGGGCATGTCCTCCTACAGGCGGATTTGAAAGGAAAACAAGTCATCAAAAATAATCGACAAAGCGTCCGGAGACTATTTTCTCTAATATTCTGGAATATTCCTCCTGTAGAAGGACATGCCCGACTTAAGGGTAGGGGGAGGGGGGAAGGCTTCTTAGAAGGAGGCTGCCTCTTAGAAGACGCCGGCCTCACATCTATCGACAAGGCCCGCGCCTTCGAAGAAGCAGGGGTGCTTCTAAGAGGCCCTGCCCCCCTCTGCGCGCAGATGATCAGAACAGGTTGGTCTTCTTCATGATGCGGAGGAACTCCTCCTCGTTCACCTCACCGTCGCCATCCCTGTCAGCCTCGTCGATCATCTCCTGCAGCTCCTCGTCAGTCATCCTCTCCCCCAGCTCCTTCGCCACGCGCTTCAGGTTCTTGAACGAGATTTTTCCGGTCTCGTCGTCGTCGAAGAGCCTGAAGGCCTTCAGGATCTCGTCCTTGGGGTCGCGATTCAAAATCTTGTGCGTCATCATCTTCAAAAACTCTTCGTACCCGATTGTGCCGCTGCCGTCGTCATCCACATCGGAGATCATCTTCTGGATCTCTTCCTTTTTGGGCTCAAATCCCAGAGCACGCATGGCCACCTTGAGCTCCTTGGAATCAATCTCACCAGAACCGTCCGTGTCAAACAGATCGAACGCCTCCTTGATCTCCTGCTTTTGCTCTTCCGACAATTCTTTCTGCTTCTTGCCACCCTGGTTGAAGCGACGCAGGGCCATTGCTGGAGCGAAAAAGTAACGAAGCGCAGACACGCGTGTGAGCGCTCGAGCGAGCTTGGACCAGGTCGAGACTTCCTTGAGTCAACACGGTTACGGAGAATGAGACAGCAGATTATGTACCATGTTGTATATACACATGTGCATTCCATACATATATATATATGTATGTATCAACACGTATATACATATACACCTACATATGTTAGCCACCCTGGACCCCAACCAGTGTGTTTGTAGCAATCCATGCTGCGCAATCTAGGTTGCCCAATCTAGGTTTACAATATATGTGGTACTATATGTGGTGTGCACTCTATGTGGTGCAGTTCATGTAATGCAATCCATGTAGTGTGAAGATATGTTGTGCAAGATATGTGGTGCTAATTAATATTGACCGTCTTGAAGCTGTCCTCTCCACTGCTCATGCAAACATCCCACCCTCCCACCCGCAACTTGGTCGCAAGACCTCTTCAGACAAGACCGTGACGGTAGGTACCACATGGCACTTGGCCACGACACCGACGCCGACGACGACAGCGACATCGACGACGACGGCGCCGCCGACACCGACTGCGACGACACCGACGACGTCTCCAATGAAATATATGAGGTGCAATATGTGGTGCAAAATATGTGTACTATATGTTGAGCACTTTATGCGGTGCGATCCATGTTGGGCAATCCATGCGGTGCAACCTATGCGGCTCATACTGTATGCTGTAAGCTATGTGGTGCACTCTATGCGGTGCAATCTATGTGGTCCAACAGTTGCATCGCAACCTGTGCGGTGGTATATATGTTTTGCAGTCCAGGGCGGCGACGGGGCGGCGCCATGCATGCACGCTTACACTCATTCATTCATCCATCCATACACACAAACATACGTACACACGCACATACGTACAACATATATACTGACGGACAGACAGACACACATACAATACGATGCAAAACAGCACAATACAATATAGTACAATACAGTTAAATACATCTCAACGCAATACAATACAATGCACGATGCATACGTACGTATATACATTCAGACATACATACATACATACCTACATACTTACATGCATACATACATGCATACATACAGGCATAAATGCATACAAGGATACATGCATATATGCATACATTCATACATGCGTACATGCATACATGCATGAGATATACATACATATATATGTATACATAAAGGTATGCATGCGTGCACGCATACTTGCATACATTCAAGTATATATGCATACATACCTACATACGTATACGCCTACACACGTACAGCATGCATACATGCATGTATGCAGCCATGCATACATACATACCTGCAGGCATACACACATGAAAGCATACATTCATACACACATACGGCATCGGGATAGGACGCACGTGGGTCGTCAAATCCGCGCGTGTGCTACGTGACACTATGCTGCCGCTGTCGCGACAGAAAAAAATAACCACCTGCAGATACCAGAAGCATGGTGATCGCATGCAAAGGTCGGTCCCAAAGGGGGAAGCTCGTTTTACGACCAGCGAAGGCGAAGGTCTACCGCATCTTCACCCGCGCGATCCGCAGCACGGCACGCGGGCCGGACACATCGGCGACACTACGCACGACAGGGGACATCCCCTGGCCCCGAGCATCAAAGACAAGCGCAGGCTCCGCAGTATACACAGAGCGACTACTCAGGGGGCAGGAGGGAGAAAAGGCTGAGCATAAGCCTCCCTGGGGCGTCCAAAAGAGGTGGGGGCGCAAATCATGGGCCAAGGCATGAGCGCGGACACGGGGGGGACTGGGGGGCGTACTGAACAAAGAAAAGGGGGTCATGAAATCCGTGGAGATTGCACGGCCCCAGCCATGATATCCACCCCCGTGCACACCCTCTCAGCCCTCACCCCCTCGACGCCCACTGGTTTCAGATCATAACTCGAATCTCTGGCGGCCTTTCGGGACGATTCGGGCACCCCCAGAAGGCCCTCGACGACGCGCAGCCTCCGAGTTTTTCTGTTTATGTCATCGTCTGTTTCCCGAGTCCATGTCGCCCACGATGAACAGCTGGTCGCACGCTTCTTCGCAAGCCCTCGTAATCTTCTGACGCATCGCACGACGCCAGTCCCTGTTGGCCGATTCTGGGCCGCCGGCGGCGTTCAACCTTGAACGCCCACGCTGGAGTCGCCGCTGCGTCGGCGCGACACGACCCCACAGCAGGGGGAAGGGGAGGAGTGGCCTCGTGGAGCGGCCTGGAGTGGGCCGGTCTCGAAGGGACCCCCGCACAAGACTGCTCGCGCCCTCCGCGGGCGGGGGCGCTGCCGAGGAGGGGCGCCGCGGGGGAGCTGCGGCCTCTCGGAGGAGGTCACGCCGAGGGGGGCTCTGGGCCAGGCGGCCGCAGTCCTCCTCGACGGAGTGCCGCTGCGATGTGGCCGCCTGGAGGCTCGATCGCACGACGCCCGTGGCCCTTCGAGGAGGCATTGGAGAAGACTTCGGCGGCGCGCCGAGGCGGGAAGTGAAGGAGGAGGAGGAGGAGGAGGAGGAGCAGGAGCAGGAGGAGGAGGAGGAGGAGGAGGAGGAGGAGGAGGAAGAGGAGGAGGAGGAGGAGGAGGAGGAGGAGGAGAGGGGGCGCAGGCCTTCTGAGCAGCGATCTGTGGCTTCGGGAGGGGCCGAGGACGCACCTCAGGGGCCAGAGGCCTCTGGAGCCCTCCGAGGAGGCCCGCCCCGAAAGCCCCCAGGGACTCCCAAAATGTCCTCGGATACCTCCGTGGCCCCCAAAGAGGCCGCCGAGATGGCCCTGAAGAAAGCGCCCGAAACGGTCCAACGTCGAATGAAAATGCTTCAAAACGGATCCTCTAAATCCGTGCAGGGCGCGGTCGGAGAGGAGCCGCAGGCGGCGCGGATCCACATGTGGACTGCGACGCCGTCCGCCCAGACTGGTGCAGCCGTGGCCGCCTGATGCTGCGGGTGCGAATATACCTGGTATGGGGAAGAGGCACTCGACATTGAAACGCCCCGCCCCCCTCGCGTGACGGACGAAGCACGGTGCAAAATTCGCCGGCCCAACGGGCCAGAGGCGTGCTAAGATCTCTGGTAACTGGTTAACAATATGTCTAGTTCGCGCGCGCGGAGCGGCCCCTGGGGGTCCCCGGGCGAAAAGTACCCCCCGGGCAAGTCCTGGGAGGGTCCTGGGAGGGTCGGGTCATCGGACCGGGCAATTTTTCGACACCCCTCACGAGGATCGTAGCCTCCGAGGGGGGAGCCGCAATCGACTACCCCCCCTCCCGCCCCAAGAGGCCCCCAAGAGACCACAAGAGGCCCTGGGGGCCCCCAAGACGCCACCAAGGAGCCCCAAGAGACTCCCAAGAGGTCCCCAAGAGGACCTAAAAAGGGCTCTAGTGCCGGCGGAATGAGCGAAGCGATTGAATAAACGTACCCTGAGGTCGGGCATGTCCTCCTACAGGCGGATGTTCGAAGAACAAGGGAAAAAATGTCAGACCAAATACCCCTTTAAAAATTGTAGAAGAATCGTCCCCAGACTATGTTTGGACTATGTTTGACTGTTCTTCCTGTAGGGGGACGTGCCCGACACACCGAGATCGGCGGCGCCTGTCCCAAGGGGCGGCTGGAAAGCTCATATACCCCCGCCTGCCGCCGTGGGGGCATGAACTTCCCGGCCGCCCTGGGACAGGCGGGCCGCAAAGATATACACCACCACCACCTCCATTCCCCCTCCCTCCTCCACCCTCGTCTTCCTCTCCTCTCACCTAGGAGAGAGAGGGGACGAGGGAGGTGGTGGTGGTGTCTACATTTGAGTCCCATAGGACAGGCGCCCCCCCTCGCGAGAAAATACACGATGTAAAAAGTATGTGCCCGCGAACCTGTACGAGGGGAACGAGCAATGACATAAACATAAATACTCGGAGGTCCGCGCGGATCCGAGCAATCCGCGCGGATCTCCGAGTATTCATGTGTATGTCATTGTCAGTTTTCCTAGTAAGATTCTTCGCCCGCTAACTTGTACTCCCCATCCACCCACCCAGAATCTGCCTTATGCCGCGGTCAGCTCTGCCAGAAGAGTACCACCCAGGAGGCAAAACTGTTGGAACGCATTCGCAAATGTTCGCCTCTTGGGCTTCCCAATGGCTCGCAGAGGGCTCCAGCAGGGTTCAAGATACAAAATGACTTCAAACAGCCTCCAGCCCCGAGAGATCAAACTCGTTCGAACGCCATTAGTTGTTCGTATGAGTTTCACTTGTTTTGTCGGTCTGAAGAGCGTCCAGGACGGAACAAGAGGCCCCCAAGAAAGCCTCCAAAGGCCCGGCGGCCCCCGAAAGGGGTCCAAGTGGCCCCCCAGAGGCGCCCCAAGCGGGGCACGAGTGCCTGCAATCTGGAGCCCCTCACCCCGAAGGGATCCACGAGATAGCCAGTAAGCCCCCAAGAGACCCAAAAGAGGCCCTCCCCCCACAGACCCAACAGAAGCCCCGAGGAGGCTCCCAAGACGCCCTCAAGAGGCCCTCAGGAGGCCCATCAGGCCACCAAATAACAGCAGCAGTGGCAACGTGTAGTGGTATTGTACCGTGCGTGCGCACGTACGAAGGAAGGACAGCGGTGGCAGCACCGGCATAAGCCATGGAACTAGGCGGGAGGGAGACTACAGTAACACGAAGGAATAGGAAAGGGGACGCCCGCTCATCGAAGACGATGCGAGACCTCAGCCCCTGGTGTGAGAAACGGGCAATGCCGCAGCAAAAAAGACGATCCACAATACCTCACGACCCGCATAGAAGAAGGAAAAACTGCACATGCATAAACTTTCGGAGCTCCGCACGGACTTCTTGGATCGGCGCTGGACCCCCCTCCCTGGCGCGCGGAACGCGCCAGGGGCGGCGCCAGAGGCGCCACCAGGAGGGCTCGGGCGTCGATCCGAGAAATCCGCGCGGAGCTCCGGAAGTTCATGTCTATGCCGATGTTTCCCCTCCGAGCGAGGAAGCAGCGCTACAAAGCTTTGGGA